CGAATATTGAAGTATCGGAGAACTTGTCTAAACCCTGGCGACTCAAGGGTCCTGCAGGTAGATCCACAGCAAACATCCCGCTTTGCCTATTATGGCTTAGATACCGTCTTTAGCACCACGACTAATCGTTAGTGGAATGCTGATGGAATGCTGGAAAGCTGTTGGTCCCTTCCCCTTCTGCTTCTCTAGTGTCACTTTACTATTGGCTCTACTGGGCTTTGCTTGTCTCATCGAGATCACCAGTCCACGTTAACCGTCCCACGAACCAATCACATATTTCAATTCTGTCTTTGACGACGGCTGGAAGTACCCCTACGACGTCAGTACTTTTTTTTTTTCCTTTCCTCCCCAGCGCTTTTCCCGACTTCACTCTTCTAATCTGCTCTAATCTGCTTCTGGATCTTGGAGAAAATGTATGATGACTTCTATATCCTCTTAACGTACAGCATGCTACAGTCCTGCTATATACCACCTCTCCCTTGACGTCGTCTTCCGAATCGCAACGCTTTTAGGCGTTCCCCTCCCGGTTTCTATGCCACCCCCTTTAACTAAATATAACTCCCCGCCCCTATGAGATTTATCTGAGGTCTTAATATCATTTCCATATATGTTGAATATATGGATAATTACTTCCTTCTATATGAATCGATATAAAATATTCGCTCATGATTCAATTACTTATGGAACCCCGTAAATATTCTACTATTACGCGACTCTCTGTTCAACTCCTACAGACCAGCACACGTTAGGTCTTTGTCCTTGCTTAATCTCACTTGACTACTCGTAATTCTTCTGAGTTCGAGTGCCACATATATCTCGTCGTGGTTCTACATATATCCCTCTTCTTTTCTGTACCTTTTGTTATCGGCTATAAGTAACCTATCCAAGCAACGAGGCTCGACAACTGCAAAAACATATTTGTATAAATTATTACGACGGGACACTATCTTAGATGATCCTCCTAGCGACAACTTATTTATTCACTCCCGGCGTCCAAGTTAGATAACAATACTTTCATGTCCTCGATACAGCCTGACTCGAATACGTCGAGCTTGCCTTCGTCGAATTATTCCGAGAGTCTGACCTCTAAGTCTCATCTCGAGAAAGATGGCTCTCTAACTCCAAACCCTACTAGGACTGAGCAGCCTTCGGCGGCTTCCGAGCTGCTTCTTGACGCTGTCAAGGATGTCAGGCAGATCGTAAGGCTCATTCAGTGTCAAATCTGCTCTAAAATATTGCAGGAGCCGACTACTTTACCCTGCGGACACAGCCTCTGCAAGCGTTGTGTACCTCATACACATGTCCGAACTAATATCTCGTGGCCGGCGACGGCCAACCGGCTTCATGGGTTTGAATGTCCTTTTGACGATTGCGGAAAGGAACACGCGCTCGGAGACTGCTCTATTGACGTAACCTTGAATAAAGCGCTAGCCACCTTCAAAGGGATTGTCGAGTCAGATCGAAATATGATGGATAGCTCTCGTGCTTCTACAAGTATCACGGTGCAGGATCACTGGGATATTGCGGGGATTCCCTCGCTTGCGCATAAAACGAATGAACCTTTCGTGATAGAAGGAGCTCGCTTTGTTGCGACATATACACTAGTAGAACTGGGCAAGCTGGATTATGGGAGCGAGGTATCTTACTCCCCTGTAGGTGCCGGGAGCGATGAGATGGAACAGATTGATATGGCCATGTTGGCGCGGTTGAAGGAGTCTGCTAGATCAGAAATGGATTGTCAAGTCTGTTACGCCTTGTTCTTGGACCCCTTAACGACCACTTGCGGCCACACTTTCTGTCGGAGTTGCCTCCATCGCATTTTGGACCACTCAGATCTTTGCGCTATATGCAGGCGTCCCTTGTCGATACAGGCTCAGGTCAACCGGCAGTCCTACCCTTCTAACGATCGACTCTGTAAGATACTTAACGGGTTCTGGGCCGATCTTGTAGCGCTTCGTGCGCAGGCGTATACACTCGAACAGCAAGCAAATCAGGGTGGGTTCGACATCCCGCTCTTCGTCTGTACGCTTTCGTTCCCGCGTATGCCTACATTTCTTCATGTTTTCGAACCGCGCTACCGCTTGATGATCCGGCGGGCGATGGAAGGCGACCGAACATTCGGTATGGTACTTCATAACTCGTCTCATATGCCTGGTGAGCCTGAATTTTTGGAAATCGGAACGCTACTTCGCATAGTCAATATCGAATCTTTCGCAGATGGGCGGAGCCTCTTGGAGACAGTTGGTGTTTCCCGCTTCCGAGTGACCCGGCACGGGTGGTTAGACGGGTACATGGTCGGCAATATTGAGAAGATCGATGACATTAGCGTAGCGGAAGAAGAAGCAATAGAGGCGGAGGAAACGATGCGGTCTCATGGCGTAAGGGAGTTGGCAACCGCACCACCTAGTCCAGGGCAAACGCCTCCAGAAGCCGTACCCGTTCGCTCTCTACCGATATCCGTATCGCTAGATGATATAGAGACGATGTCGACTAGAGAGCTGGTCGAGGTGGGCGTGGACTTTGCCAGAAGAGTGAGAGCGCAGAGCGTGGCGTGGTTAAATTCGCGAGTTCTAGCCATCTACGGCGAATGTCCTACAGACCCGACTCTCTTCCCCTGGTGGCTCGCTAGCATTCTGCCGGTTAAGGACGAGGAAAAGTACAAGCTCCTAGGCACTTCAAGCGTGCGGGAGCGGTGTAAGATATGCTGTCGGTGGGTTATAGAATGGGAGGCGAACAGATGGTTAGTAACACAATCTCTTCTTTCACATATGGGCAGAGCCAAGGGGTAGTAGGTTATACCCGATACCTCGGTGAGAGGATGAGACAACTACCTAGTCCTCAATAAAGCTAAGCTCGCTACAGATTAGGTCTTGATTACTGACGCATTGATGGATGCTTCCAGGACCATTTCCGATTGCCTCGTCTCGTGACAGGCTTTTTATATTTACATGTTATCGTTGCGACGTTGACTTGCGACTTATTCGAGCTGGGCTACGAACAAGCAAGCACCCGGTCTTGATCATAGAGAGATGCAGGAGTTATCGTTGGAAGATTTGGCTTTGAAGGAGTATTCATTCATGCTTATCATATTAGTGATACCATCATAGCGCTAGCATTGCCGTGTGAGTATCTAGATCTGAGGAGTTGTTATCTATTGTTGTTTATTGCGCTACTGAACAAGGGTCGTGTATCAGATGACCTGATCTGACCTTATCTGATCAAATGACCTTATCTAGTCATGTGACCTTATCTGATCAGGTGACCAAGATCCTAGTATAAGTACCCCTCATGGTCGCACACACCCATTTTACATAGCTTCAACCACATCGAATACAAGTCATTCCTTTCATCTATTATAGCATCACCTAGACCATGGCATTAGATTCAATATAAGGGTCTAATCCAGGTCCAAGGCTGATAGCCTTGTTCACTACGCATTAAATCACGCATGCATCGTCGTCGTTGAGCATTGTTGAGAAAGGGGGATGGGTGATATTGTATATAGCTCCCGCATTGAGAGGTGAATGAAGACCCCCTTTTTCAAATAAGATTTGGATTACTACCTATTTTATAAGACTTTCATGGACGTGGTAACCTAGATCTTATTAGTCTTCTCCGTGATAGTACTAATGTTAACTGTTAACAGTATACGCTATAGATGTCTTATGTAAGTACGTAGCTCTATGTAATTTGCGGGGATTTTGCTATTACATAGTCGAGCTTCTTCTTCTTCTACGTCATCCGTTAAACTTAATACAATACCTATTAACCTCAACCTCGACCTCGACCAACTCACTTACAACTAACCAATCTTTCGCAAATACACACTCTTATACGAAGTAAATGCTTGCTACTGCATTTCCATCATTCCCGGGTCTACTACGGAATAAGTTGTCGCATCCAACTCTTACTCGACTCGCTGCTTTATCGTCGTCTATCCGTCCAACTACTTCAGGAGCAAGAGCTGGATTGGGGTATTGCTTCCAGTCGGCTATGGAGTATACACACATCGCGACGCCGGAACGGTGCTATGCTGACTTTTGTCTTATTCCTGTGAGTTGGCTTGTCTTTGTATCAGGGTTTTATATACGCTTCCTACACATATCATATATATTCCTGTTATGCGCGTATATATATCGTCTCGATACCTTCTTTATCACTTGATATCCTGTTCCCAGCATTCCCAACGCTTATAACCTCATATAAACTAATATATACGCAACACACGTGTATAGGTCGGCACAGGCAGCGTCTCAGTCGCAGAGGAAGTAGCCGAGGTGCAGAAGCTGCTTAAGGCCAGTGGACTCACTTACACGATGCATTCTGCGGGGACTACTGTTGGTAAGTTAGCTCATCTCCAGCTCTCCAACTACCATACCTTATCACCCTCTTATTCTGGTTTCTTATTTTCCCCGTTATGTTATGTTATATGTCTGATGCTAATCGGTACTACGTAGAGGGATCGTGGGACGAAGTCATGAAAGTCATTGGACAGGCGCATAGTGTAGTCCATTCGAAAGGCGTTGTTCGTGTGCAGTCGTCGATGAGGGTTGGGACTAGGTATGTCTTATGTCTTCTTTTCCCTGGTTTACTACCTAATATATCATTTGGCCCCATCTGTCTATTGTTCATCTACTTATACTCGTGTACAAATTCACGTTTACCTGTACTCCCCTCTAACTATACAATATCATCATCTTTCTATGACGGTGGTCTCATATATGGAGCGTAATGTCGACTGAGTTAGCTAATATTAAACTTTTACTCTTACTAGGACGGATAAGAAGCAGACGGCGGTAGACAAGGTCAAGCGTGTTGAGGATCTTTTGGCAAAGCAAGCTACCAGCTCTTAAGCACTGTTCGGTTTAAGGTAGGGGGATCTATATCCTAAAGCTAGGAGGTGAATTTCACTATAGCAGACGTGGTGAATACAGTCTTCGCGACCCTTACGTAATGGCAGGCAACACGGAGCGATAAGCAACAATTTAAACAAGTTTCATGTATTTATTCAAACAGACATTGCTAGCGTACACTTGACATGTTCCACGCCGGGCATTTTCCTACTACATAGGTACCTATACACGTCAAATATCGGAGCCGCCGATGAGAATAGCATCTGACCCTACCACATACGTCTGCTCGTCTCCACACGGCAGCTGTCCTTTCCTGTTCTTGGGGAACTTGGACAGGACAACGTCGTGCCGGTCTAATCGCGCGTTACCCGATTGCGCGTACTACGCGCGGACGGTCTGCTTCCTTGATGACTTGCGTAGCTCCTTCTCCCTCTCCTTCTCGAGGTACTTCTTCTGCGCCTTAGCGTCTAGGGCATTGAGCTCGGCGTCGCGCTTAGCCTTCCTTGCCTTGTCGCGCTCGGCCTGTCGTTCCTCGGCCTTCTCCTCTTCGGCTGCCTTTTGGATCTGCTTGATGGTCTCGTCTCGGACAACCTTGATCTTGCGTAGGATCTCTGGTCGGAAGTGGGCCGACGACGCTAGGTGATCGGGGATCCGGACGAAGTAGGCTAGGAGAGGAGCAAGATCATCGTAGTTGTTAGACGAGGGAAGACGGTACCGTAGGTAAAGGCGCTTGCGAGGAATCGTTTCATCCATCCTATGATATAATTAGCAAGTTTTCTTTTTGTAGGAATTAAGTAAATCATGTGGTCTTAGTTATGTGTAACCGCAATAGGTTATATATAACAAAGAGCGCGTACTATTACTAAAGGGAGCGCTTACTTAGTAGGCTTGTCAACGGGTTGATCGCTGATAATGAGGTACTCAAACAGATCACCAGCTTGCTTGATAGCCGAGGCAAGTTCGTCTGTCAGTAGCGTCTGGGTAACCTCAGCGCTCTCGCTCATGACTGTTGTCCAGATGGGCAGCTTGGCGTTGTCCTTGGTGAAGGTGATAGATAAGTCATAGCGATCTTCTCGGAGCTTCTTCATATTGTTCTTGTTAACAATGGCCCAGACAAACCCATCGAACGAGCTCTTGGAATCCTTGCTTCGTAGCTCAGCGGCGCCTGGTAGGCTGGGCACAATCTGAGCCTCCTTGCCGTCGAAGGGGTAGATAACAGCCTCAACCGCATCCTCGGGAGCAGCAAAGCTGTCGAAGAAGAAACTCAAGGCAGTCTCCAAACCGGTCATTACGGGGTTGAAGCGCTTCTTTAGGGTCAACTTGATGTCCATGAAGGCGACGTTTTGTCGGCCAGTCGCATAACTCGCGTACTCGAACAGGCTCTTGGCTTTTAGCAGCTTCTCAGGGTCCTGGTTAGATTGCTGCGGTACTCCACGAAAGCCGACAAGCGCGAATTCGCCGGTGAGGATCGGAGCGTGGGCTTTGATCCATGCTCTCGCCTTGGCGCGATTGAGTTTCGTACCAATGAAGTGCAGGGTGAAGATGACAGCAATGATGACCAAGATGATACCCTCAGCTCGGAAATCGCTCAGACTATGGCGCTCGTGAATATTATACCATTTCGTATACGGGCGAGCAGTAGGCACAGGACCACCGAGGCCAGCACCACTAGGGACGGTCTCGAATGATACAGGCGCTGGTGAAGGCGCATCGGCGAAGTCGGCAAAGTCTAGGAGGTTAAGTGTTAGTTATATATATGACTACCTAGATATGCTGGTAAAGGAATTGAGGTGTAAGAGTTGTATATTCGTTGGGCATTGGCTTCAGACCAGGTGTTCAAGGAGCAATTCTTGTCGCGTAGCTTATGAATGCGACTTGGGGATATAACTTACCTGAATCGGCGGAGGGAACTGGAGTAGCAGAAGACTTGCTACCTCCAACAAAGTTCTTTAAAAAGTCCGCCATGGTTGCGAGACTCGTCGCAGAATTTTGGTGTGCGCGGCGAAGTTGAGAAGGCGGAGTCGAAGATCGAGGGTCGAGGATCGAGGATCGAGGATCGAGGATCGAGAGACGTGGAACAATTTGGAGCAATCTCCAATAAATCGCTTAATTACCTAACCCGCAAAACTTAAAAATACAGCTTAAACCGCAGAATTGGAACGTGCACACCCAAGAGTTGGGGTTTTGGGGGGAGAGTTCTCCACATCTGGCCCTAAACAAATTGTGGCTTGAACTTTGACTCTGCCAGTCTGTGCAGAACTGAATGCATTAGGTTTAGACCCGTTACCCGGCAACCTGAACATGCAGTCAAAGAAACTCAAAGTCAATAATTAAATTATCGCTGTCAAAGTGAAAACCAAAACGCATAGACAACATTTAATAAATAATGAATGCGATTAGAATCCAACCGGAGCAACAAGCGAAGAGAAAATGTCGAAACAAACTTCTCTACGTAAATATGGAAAACAATCCAAGAAACCCAAAGCCGATCGATTATTCGTCGACCTACCACAGACACCAATGCGAAATCAGCCCCAGAAAGTAATAGAAGAACAGGACGATGATAGTTCCGATAAAAAGGTGCTGGAGGAATTGGTTGGAGGGATCTCTGCTATGGCGATACAAGACCAAAACATTGCACCACTAGATTCACTCCGACGCTCTCCCAGACGAAAAGAGCAACAGGCTCTCCTAAAACCACCACCACCCCTTACCCCGGCTCAACTCCGAAGACTCCCAGTAATAAGCCCACCTAAGCTAGAAATCCAAGATCAACTTAAGGATGGAGAAGTAAAGAAGGAATTACAAGTGCTTTCCTGGGCCGACATATGCCCACCAGGCGATAAGATCGTCAAGATAGCGGAGGCTTCTTATGCGGAAGTCTATCGCGTGACGAACGAACGCGGGACTAGCATTATTAAAGTCATCCGGATGGAATCGCCGATAAAAGCACAAACAAAAACTCAACAAAAATCTGGGCTCGTCGACGAAGAACCACATTCCGAGTCTGATTTGATGGGCGAATTAAAGATCTCGGAGTGGCTTGCCGACATACCAGGCTTCGTCGTCTACAAGGAAAGATATATAGTTCAGGGGAAAGCTTGCAAGGAGTTACTCGAAACACACCAGGCATTTCACAAGAAGTTAAAACGGCAGGATCCAGATAGACTTCAATTCTATCCATCGCCAAGCCGATACTTGCCTGGCACCAAGTTCCTAGTGGTTGAGCTAGGGGACGCAGGGACAGCACTTGAGGATTTTGAGCTAGAATCTGCCGACCAGCTATGGGACATATTCTTTCACGTCACCATCGCGCTCGCTCGTGCTGAGGCTCATATAGAATTTGAGGTTAGTAGATTATGTCCCTTTTCATTAGACGCCCTAGACTAACAACACTAGCATCGGGATCTTCACGAGGGAAATTTATGTATCCGTAGGATAATAGAACCGGTTCCCACAGCAGACCGAGGGCGTTCTAGCTGCTTTGGATTTTCCGGTCTCGATGTAACGATACTCGACTATGGGCTCTCTCGAGCTCACGCCGACTACGAGAACGAAGATTCGCTACCTATTGCTTATGATCTAGAAAGAGATTTAAGCATTTTCACCAGCGAACACGCACCCCAGTGCGAGGTGTATAGACGTATGAGATCCTTTATGTTGCGAGGAGACCGAGTGTGCCTACCCCCAAAAGGTCACAAAACACCTTACGAAGAGGGAATCGACGGCCCGATTTGCTGGGCTCAACACGAGCCTTACACGAATGTCTTATGGCTTGCGTACATCTACCAATGGATGGTGAAGCATTTCAAGGGACCCAAGAAAGAGGTCAATGCTTTTAAACGCGCTACGAAGGAATTCTGGACGTACCTCGACCCCGACGCCGCCGATGGTGTACCGGGCTTCGGAAGTGCTAGTGATATCGTGAGGTTCGCACTCGAGTCGGGATGGATAGAGGAGGATCAGTTGATGGGTATGCGGGACGAAGTCGAGAAATCGATATTATCGGTTCTAACGACTAATGACTTGGGAAGGGAGATAGACGAGGAAACTTTTGCAGAAGCATACCTGAGAAGATCGCCTAGAAGGCGCTAACGTAATGCCGTGTAAGCCGACTGAAATAGATGTGTCGATCAACGGCGTTCGGGTTAAAGGGTTACAGGATCAGGATCAGGTTCATGGACCGGCATTGGTCCACGGTGGTTAAGGCCAGGGAAAGGATATAGGATACCATTTGATATAAATTGTTAATCATACCGAGATAACCTATACGTGACTATGTCTGAAGCCGATCTATGATTCATACTGGTGGACGTAAGGGCGATTCGCTACTACACTTACTGGGGGGGAGTCGGGAGAGTCACATACTCCATCCTGATATCTTGTTTTTGGAAGGCCTGAAATGGCACAAACCAGTTTTGACTTGGTCGAAGCTCGTATAAAGTTCAAGGGAGAGATCGTATCTCCTCACTGCATGCACTGCTGATCAAGTTGATCCTATTTAGTTTTTGATCACCAACACAAACAAAATGCATATATTCTCCGAATCGTACCAAGCAGTAGAAACAGATCGTGCTCGGGGACCTACATGAGATTATAGTCTATTTAATCTACGCCGTCCGGTATTGACCCGGTTTCTTTTCATAGAACCAATCATTCAGACACGCGACTTGGTATGGCTTGGTACGACGTCGCGCAGCGGGAGCTATTAATATATTTAGATATATTTATTGCTTTGGCCTACGGAGAGACCTCGCGTTACCTGAACTCACCTGATGCGGTGTAAACTATATCGTTAACTATTAACTATTATATTGTGTCCTGTCGGCGAAGCGCTGAATGTGACCTAGATATGGGAATTATGGTTATAGTCCCCTACGAATAATGTGTTCTCGCGCCAAGGAAAGATCAGCGTCTACAGAATCGATTGGCACGCAGATCAAGTTTTCCAGCCGCGCGCAACAGCAAGGCGGCGGCTTGATTTTTCCTCTTTTACTTTTCAGCTCGCCCGCCATGCCCGGCTGGGTTTAATACACTACGATGAGTTCCCGTCGGGATGGTATGGTAAACAATAGCCGGTGTAACATCGTGTCCCGTCGCCTTGGCAGGCCTTACGTCGTACTACGTGACTAAGTGGATGTGTTCAATGCCGCTTGAATATTTCAAGTTTTTTTCGACGTATGCCGTGTACGTATGGCTCGTCTTATTAGGGGTTAACACGTACTCGTCCGACACGAAGTTATGGAAGAAAGAATAACTAGCAATATAGCAATATAACTAGCAATAACAATTTATCCCTTTACAGTAAGGGGGATATTGGGCATCTATTCCTTGCCGAGGCTGATGTATATGTGTGTGCGTGTAGTAAGCAAAGTATTATGTAAATACGTGGATAGGAGGTTGGCAAGTTCCAAATTGTGGCATCAAATTCCCTATTTCGAATGGGTTTTGGTAAAAGTGGTAAAAGTAGTAAAAGGGGTCTTAGGGGTTGTGAAATGCTGCCATGTACCTTCCTTAATACCCTATGTAATACTACAACACTATGTATCTACCAATAGCGGTAGCATCCGGTCTCTAGGACCAATAGAATAACATGAACAAGTTTAAACCTTTCTATGACCCACATTAGCGTGTTTCAGATCCTACCCGATCTTAATGGAGATAAAATATAGGTAAAATATAGGTAGGTACCGAGTCACTTCGTACCTGGCAGGACTGGTTTTCCCTTTTTATTAAGGGGGAAATGATCAGCGACATCTTGCAGACTGGACATCTTGTCGTCATCCCACTAAAGTGGCCCTGCAATTCTAGCCCGCCAGCCCGCTTCGATCCTCGACAAGGCGAAAGAACAAGACAGACAATTGCCAGGGAATATGGAACCCAATATAGAAACCAAACGAAACTTGATCCCGGCTAGTCTAGTCAATCGATCCCAGGCCCTATCGATTCTTCCATAATACACTACATATTCGTTCATCAAGAAAGAAAAAAAAGGAGCTGGGCGGAGATGAACAAGATGAACAAGATGGGGTCCCTCTGTTTCGAAATGCATACATAGGACTTTTTAATCACGCATTGCAATAGGGGAACATGTAGGTCTTATGTTGTTTCTCACTACCACCAATTACTACTTACCTACATACAAACGTACCTACTTACATGTGTATGTAGGTTTTTATGTTGCAAAAGTGGGAGGACCCTTACCACAAGTCTTTTTATTGGATTTAGAGAGAGGGTTACATACCTTTTCCCGGCTCAAATCCTCGAATTTCTGGTTTCTCTCTCTCGGTCGTTTTGGTGCGGATTTGCCGCTAGCCCTGCCATTCCCCTGCATGACGAATCGACGAATAACTTCGCGCCAACCATTCTCTGCTTAGCTTTGCAGGCGTGTGGCATGGGACGACTGACCTATCATACAACGTCTTCCAACCCAAACCAGCCCAGCCAGCCAGCAGCAGGCCCAGCTTGACCTACCAAAATCCACCAAAGCCCACCCAACCCCTTTCTAAATCCCCACCTTCACGCCAACCTACCTTGCCTACCATGGCATGCCTGAATTACACCTGCATAAGGTACCGAAGCTACTATCAGATGGTTTCTATTTTCTTGCCGAGCCGGCCTGGCTACTACCATGCCACCATACCCTACGGCCCCATAGGCTGAAAGATCGTGGTCCACTAATTAATATACGAACCTCCTCGGTGGTCTTCTAATTTTTCTTCTCTCCCTCTCTCCGCCTCTTCACCTTGCAGACCTCTATCCGCTGTCTTGGGGTTTAACCATTCGCTCATTTGCTTGTCGCGATTCACACTCTTTCAAAGCTCCGCCGGCTGAGTCTACCGTTCATTTACCAAACAAATCTTTTGTTTGTCCCTTCTTTCTTGGACTGGTCCCCCTATCAGCGCTCAACTCGAGACTTCAAATCACCGCCCACAGACTATTCTGTCAGACAATCCTTATTAAGGGCTTGGTCCGGTGTTAGCATTTAAAGAATATCATTCCCTGAAACAAAAAGTTCTAGGCACTACAATCAGTTGCCCATCACAATACAACAGATACTTTGAGGCATACGAAAAGGGAAGCAAACATGAAGTACGCAACTGTTGGTGCTTTGGCCTCCGTGGTCGCCACGGCTGCGGCAGAGAAGACGGACTCGACCTTTGCTGTCCTCCATTTTACCGGCCAGCACCAGTTCTTGACCGAAGGTCCTATAGATCCCGTCGTCAACCCTGGAACGGAAGCAACCCATTATCACAGTATCATGGGAGGTAGCAACTTCGGCATTTCTACCTCGGGTGACGATCTCTTAAGTTCAAATTGTACTACGACTACCATCAAGAACGACAAGAGCAACTACTGGGTTCCATCTCTCTTCTTCCAAGATCCCAAGGATGGCACCTTCGAAAAGGTCCCCCTGTATTACATGAATGTGTACTACTTGTATGTTCTTCTATTATAACTCCTATAAGTGAGATTGGTTTGTCTAACATATGTTTAGCTTCGAGCCCACCAACAGCAGTATTGAGCCGTTCCCCGTTGGGTTGAAGATGTTGAGTGGTGATACCAAAGCCAGAGATCCTCCCAAATTCGGAGGTGGAAGCAATGTTGACCCTACCAGGGGCCCAATCCAGCCAGTTCAGTGGACTTGCCCTAGACAGAGCTACGATCCTCCATCCTACCCCGTGGATTCTGACGGAACCACGGCCGGTCTTCAGGATCCCCAAAACCAGGGCGCAGGTGCGGGTTTCCCCCTTTACGACTGCGACGGCACCTACTCTCCCCTCCGTCAGGATATCCACTTCCCTTCGTGCTACAACCCAGAAGCTGGTCTTAATGACTACAAAAACAACATGGCGTGGCCTACCCCTGAGAACGGACTACTAAACTGCCCCGCCGGATGGACCCACGTCCCTCACCTCTTCTATGAGGTCTACTGGGATACTCCCTCGTTCAAGGATAGGTGGACCCCTGATGGAAAGACCCAGCCTTTCGTTCTGTCCAACGGTGATGCTACTGGTTACAGCTCGCACGGTGACTTTATCTCCGGCTGGGACCAGGAAACCCTCAGGACTATTATCAACACTTGCAATGTTGGCACTCTCGGCATGGAGCACTGCCCCGATATTCCCGGTGGTGTCAACGACGACCAGGACTGCACGATCGAGCCTGCTGTCGGTACCATGGTGAAGGCTGCGCAGACTCTCAAGTCCCTCCCGCTCAACTGCCCGGTTACTGGCTGGGGCAAGGGTTCTTCCAGCGACTCTGGTTCCGACTCTGACTCTTCCTCGTCGGAGCAGCCTGCTACCTCGACCGTGAGTAACTCCCGGACCCATTTACTTTCTTTTCCAACTTGTTTCGGTGCCTTCTTCCTGTGCCTCTTGAACATAACCTAGTACTCTCAACACGGACCAAGTTATATAAATATTGTTACTAACACTGGATGCCATAGTACAAGGCAAGCAGCGCCGCCCAGGAATCTTCTGCGCAATCTTCGACCGCTGAGTCGGATTCGGTCCCTACCGGAAATGCGTTCATCGAGCGACCCAGCTCATCCACCGTGGCCGCAGCACCTGTTGTCACCGCCGCTGCAGTAAAAGAATCGTCCGAGGAGAGCAATCCCAATGTTGCCACCGTCTGGGATGTCGTATACGTCACCGAGACTACCACTGTGCAGCCCGAAGCCACGCCTATTGTCCGCAGACGCCGTGCTCCCGTACACAGCCATGGCCACATCAAGCGCCACCAGCACAACGTACACGGCCGCCGATAAGCAGGTGCGCGAGTGGCCAACCAGCCAGTCAATTATTTGATTCTATGTCCATACACGACTTTGTAGGGATTGCGTGGCGCTGTCGAGGGTCGGTCGCATCATAGAGGATCCATGGGAGGGCATGTGATATTGGGACATTTTTGATTTGCTATTGTTCTTGGATACCTTATGTAGGGCGGGAAAAGCCCGCGAGACATAGAAAATTCTAGCGACGCCTCGCTGTCGATACCTTGATCAGGGGCGCACTTAAAATTGGGCGATGTACGGGTCACATTTAGAGGATACGTAGCTTGCGCTCATCTTCACTTCTTGATGTAGCATATTTGTATACAATTTATGAACATTGTTCGATTTTGACTATACATTTACATAGAGATTTAACTCTGTATTCAAGCGATTCATTTATGGTCGGTAATTGTCCGTGTGATTTATATTCGTTTTTGTCCCGAGCTATACTGGTGAAGATTTAGACAGCAAGGAAAATGAGAGATTTGAATATAAGTTATATAACCCGTAAACGTGCGAATATAAAGCTTCCTGTAATCTGTAGCAACTGGGTGTACAGTGAGCAACCCCCTTATTCACGAACACGCCTATTTGAGTTTCACTCCGCGTACATTAGGTCTAGCGCGCGAGATGAATATTTAGTAAAGTAAACACGGCGGTGTTTTGATTATAAATATGAGCTCTATTCCGTGTCTAAACTATACATGGAGAATATTGGTTACGTCTAGAGTACCTGAGATGTAGATATACTCGTGACATTGGACTGTTAGATAGGTGTTCATCTAGACATAGGCATGGATGAGATATATGATTAAATGTAGTAATGATTCCAACATATGCCCGTCGAGGTCTTATAGCGATTTATTCTGTTTATTCAAGTTATAGAACAAGTTGGGTATTATCCTGTAGAAAGGGTATTATATATATCAATCATCAAAACCATTCCACTCCCCCTCATCAGAATCGCTTTGGCTACTATGGTCGCTGCTCAAGTCGCTTGCAGTTTCGGAATCCATATCATAGTCTTCCTCTCCCTCATCCTTTTCCTTTTCTTTCTCTCCCTCGTCCGCGCCATGCTGAGTGTTATTAGCTCGTACAGATTGATCCGCCCTCTTACCACTCCCCGTGGAACTAGGGCCATATCCCGGCTTAAACGTCGGCATACCCATGCTGTTTCTAATAATGCGACCGCCATCGTCGCGAATATAAGGACCATCGCCATCTTCAAAAGCAGATTTCACATCGCGGACAAAACCAGCGACGAAGAATCCCATGACACCCCGCCCATCGTCTTTATAAGATCTAATACACGCCTCAGCAACCTCGGAATCTCCGTCGCTCGCTTCAACGGATCCCCGAACCGGCCACTCGCGAAGCCCTCGGACCTGCTCGTCCCGCCGTAGTATGCGCCAGCCCCTTTCCTTGGCAACATCGGATTGTAGGGCTTTCAGGACAACTTGCTCGTTCTCCTGGGCGTGGATTGAGCAAGTCGAGTAAGTGATCTTCTTTGCAGCGGGGAATTTGAAGGCGTGAAGCAGCAGAATAAGTTGGAATGACGATAGTGCTTCTAAGCGTGCCTCTAATTCCTTTTCGGAGGTAACTATCGTTTCTTTCCCATCGTCATCGACCATAATTGGCTGTGACGTGTTTTTACCGGCCTCGGAATCATCACGCTTCCGCTTACGATTGGTGTTAGGGAGCGGCTTCTTGAACGCGCCTGGGACGTCGGGGAGGTATATCGCAGGCATTTCATCTCTACCAACTATACCACTACCCGAGCAGCTGGGATCTAGAAGCAAGCAGCCAACGTTTGTAAACAGTTCGGAATTCGGATCGACCCTGAGGAAGTCCTGGCCGAAGCTCATTCTCGTGATTTCTTTGGCACCAGCTAGCTTGACCATCTTTTCCAAGGTCCGCGAACGCTTTGGATCTTTCTCAAATGCATATACGGTCTGAGTACACTCCTCCTTCTCCGGAGCCCGAGAGTGTACGATGGCTGCAAGATGGGTTGTCTTGTTCCCAGGGGCCGAACAAGAGTCAATGACGTCGCCATCTTCAGCGCGAGGATCCAGTAGATATGCGGGAAAGCAAGAAGCTTTGTCCTGCAATATTATAGCTCCAGACGTATATGCTGCCGTCTTGGTGATCTCAAAGCTGGGGGGTATAGCTATCAGGTTTGGGATATGCTCGTCCACATATAGGAATTTCCCAGGAGCAGCCGTAACCTCACCAACGCTGAGAACCCTGGTGAAAGCAACGAAAGTGGTTGCTAACTGATCCTCAATGGTAGTCTTCAAGACATTCACACGCACCCATCGCGGATAAGCGGCTGTCCCGCCCAAGAATTCGGCGGTTACTTGTTCCCTAAGGGCTTCGACAGACCCAGCTTTCCTCCGTAGGCGCGCCCTAGTGAACTCGGCATTCAAACGCGCCTTATGACGCTCAATTGAGGCCCTGAGACCATGACTAGCAGGAAGCGCAATACCTTTCTTGGATATTACGAAGTCATGGACGAGCAGTAGAGCCAGCAAGGGGCTAAGCTATGTATCCCTAGGTAGTTAGCAAGGCTGAGGGCGAGAGGCTAGGAGTTTTCCTATTGAGTAGCTACCTAAGGTAAGGGTGCTCACCTTGCGCTCATGACGTAAAAGTTCCGAATTATCAATAACTTCTTTTAGCACAGGACTCCATTTGCAAGTCTCCAATGCCAGGGCGTAGACTTGCTGCTGAGGAGACTTTAGGTCCTTCTTCCCAAAGATGCGAGTTTTCAAGTTGCCGCCAGTGGATGGCGTTGCCGATAGTATATCGGCTGTCTCATGATACAGAGACATTCTTCCCGGAGCATGTTCAGCCGCATGCTCAGGGGTACAGGACGTTGGTTGTACCGTATGTCTTGCATAAGGGGTTTGTAAGAGCGAAGGTTCGCGGCGTGCAACTCAAAATGCAAAATCTTGGGTCAAGATCTTTAATCGATAAGGAAATCTACCATGCAACAACTCGGCAATCTACGCGCTAAAGATAGAGCTACCCAGATATTGATAACTACCTCCCTGCGGCTGATTGCCATCTTTAAATGTTTGCTTTGATTATGCAAGTACTTCATACACTACCTAACATATTTCCACCAACATTACATACCTCCTAATAATGTATGTAAGAGTAGGATCTCCAAACTATTGCCCAGCTTGTTTAAGGCTTGTTTAGGTCATCGATAAATACGAGACATATCTAACTATTACCGCCACTCTTCATTTTATCGAGAGCATTTCACATAGGCAACTTCGATAATTTATTTTTCCAAACGCCTGGAAGGGACAAAGGGACATCGTATGTTTTATATACTTACCTAGGTAAGGATCGAGATCCGGGTCCACTAGCTTTGTGCTTTGGTGTCCATCAAAGCTGAAAATCTGCCACCTGGGGTTCCAAGGATGGCGACATGTCTTTCGGTCCCGTTCTACACAGATACGCCCATATGTGCATTCGAGATAGCCTTTAGGCTTTGGCCCTCTCCAAATCCCTCGTCCGGAGTCTTGGCGGCAAGCTAGTCCAACAGTTGCGATTGTTGTCCGGACTAAACTGTGAGATTAGGTACCTACGTATAGTTATCCCATGCAGCCACATGGTGGTGTGTACAAGGTTCTGTGTGATGAGCCTTGCAGTTGGGCACCGTAAGCGGAAAGGCCGACCGTATTGTCAATCAGACGCAGCCACCATATGCTCTCCTGAAGGCCCAGATATAGTGAGGAAAACGGAACGGGGTTTTACAACATTGCGAATCGAACGAGGTTCGTCTCCTATGAGTAGGTATCTAAAATATGCTCGGATATCATGTCACTCCGGTATTTATCACGGACCCGAAATAACACCTCGAAACTTATCAACGAATCTCTCAGCTCGGTAGTGTGAATTGCTATTTGTTATAATTATTTCGATCTTATCAACCTTCCGACATACGACTAAATAAGTCTGTGACGTGTACTTCAACCAATCCAAATGCAAATAAGGCTCGATTTTACACATGTGCAGATGAGATGGGCGGAGATGGCGGAGGGTCGGTCAGTCAAGTCCGCATCTACTAATAACATCATCATCATGCCCAACAGTTACACAGGCATCTTCCTTATTTCTTTATTGAGAGGCAAGTCGGATGGTCGGAGCTTTGATGATACCGTCTTCATAGGACTCCAAAAACCCCCAGGGATCCTTCGTAAGCCTGATAGGGCCACGCGATCGAAGGGGCGCCACGCAGTTGCGATTCCTGTTTAGATCCCTTCAAACCTCGGCTTCGGTAGATTTCCTTTCTTTCAATATTACAGAAATACAGCCCCGAGGGCTGCATAAGATATGGATGTTGCGCCATCCTATTGATTAGAGCGGTATAAGTTACACTCTCTCGGAAAGGGGACGGATTTTACAACCAACACAAACGTGCAGCTACATATGCGGTCCTAATTGAATCCCGTCCTGTGCGTCCTGTCAGTGCGGTAAGACAAGCAAACACCATAATTTCACCAATCATAAATACGGGAGGGAGAAATTAGAGATGTTTAGCTTCACCAGGAGTATTTTAGAAGTCGTTGATCAAACCGTGAAATTTCATGCTTAAATCAAGGCATCACGAAAGGGTGTAATTTGAAATAATCATCAAGCCCTTAACCACCACTAATAGCCGAGTTGGCAAATGTCGGTATGTGAATATATAGTCGGACCGGGTTTGGAATAAACCCCGTATCATCACCATTGTCTAAACCTGTAAAGGTCACACAGTCCCGTCAGGTTGGGACTGATTAGTCGTTGATCAAGGTTAAGAATCCATGCGATTCGCAAATATTGACGTCGCTTACTCCGGCAAGTCCCGTTTGGTAGGGAGAATGTAACAATGGGACTCCGGAGCTTATGTCATGGATATGAGATGAGAATCAAGCATACCTCCAACACTAACACATGCACACTTTAAATCCAACTACAATGTAGAATGGATGACATGGTTGTGTTGTTCCTCGGGCTTGGATAAGTTCAAAAATAGACCAAGGGTTTGAGTCCTCAGCTGAATCACACTGTATAACTTGTAGACTAAAGGATGTAACATTCCAACCGGACCTCATATAAATCACTACCTTTCACATCAAATCAATACCTTTACCCAGTAGACTCGATCTGTAGGGACCGAGCAGCGAGATGCCGGTTATGTTACACCAGACGGTATCCATAAGTACCTAAATCCGTGTCCAAACAAAGAAAATGTATCTACATTAGTCTGTAAATATTTCCCCAGCGGGACCTATATATTACTTTAATAGCTCGTCGGCAGGGACTTCCTTGGCTGATCCCTTTGGTTGGGAACTTCTCATATACAATATACAAACCTAAATACATACCTCATAGATAATAAGCCTCTTCTACTACTGCTCCCCCCAAGACAGAAAAATAAATATAAAGATATTCTGTAGGTTGAGTAAACACCTCGCTCTCATACGAAAACACCACGACTTGCCCATCATGTCGTCGCCCGAATCGTCTTCGGACGAGTCGTCCGCCACCGTAACGGAACAACAACTTCCTCGGCGTGACGTGGAAGCTCAGAAGCCAAACGAGAAGCTATCGTACTGGAAACGCCAGTTTGATCTGGCCGGCGTTACTCCCGCGGTGATGGAATGGAAGTACAGGGGAAGCGGGACGACGGACGATCCTTTCATAGTCGACTTCCTCCCCGAAGACCCGAAGAATCCGATGAAGTTTTCCACGAGGAGGAAATGGGGTATCACGGGTTTACAGGCTATCGCCGTGCTCGCGGTTACGTTTGTCTCGACGGCTTATTCGGGGGGTATTGGTGAGGTTATTCGCGAGTTCGGGGTCAGCGAGGAAATCGCTATTCTGGGAATTTCGCTTTTTGTCCTCGGGTTTGCTGTAGGGTACGTATCGGGTTATATTGCTCTCATCGCCATAGCGTATTATTATACTGACTTGTCATTTATAGTCCGCTGTTGTGGGCTCCGTTGTCTGAGATGTATGGTAGACAATTGCTATTCTTCATTACGGTAAGTTGAATACCCGCTCTAGGTCCCCCTTACCGGATAGCTACCTATGAACAACTACTAACACTATATTTTTATAGTATGGATGCTTAACCGCGTTCAACGCCGGCGCAGCGGGATCTCCGAATATTCAATCACTCATCATCCTCCGTTTCTTCGCTGGTACCATCGGAAGTTCACCCCTGACTAACTCTGGCGGAGTCATCGCCGACATGTTCACCGCTAAGGATAGAGGTTTGGCTACTGCTATATTTGCTACCGTATGTTCTTCACCTACCCAATCCAGAATCACAACTGTACGAAAACTAATTCTCATTCTTCTCTAGGCTCCTTTCCTTGGTCCATCCATCGGCCCAATCGCCGGTGGTTTCCTCGGCACAGCAGGAGGATGGCGATGGGTACGTAACCAACCATTCAACCCCCTATTCTCCCCAAGTAAATATCTACTAACTCCTCATTCATGTAATAGGTCGAAGGCCTAATGGCATGCTTCACCGGTCTCCTGTGGTTTATCTGCACCTTCCTCGTCCCTGAGACATACGCGCCCATCCTCCTCCGCAGACGAGCAGAGAAGTTATCCGAGATGACTGGAAAGGTTTACGTGTCCAAGCTTGATGCCGGCAAGCCTAAGAAGACCGTTGGTCAGGAGTTCAAGATTGCCTTGTCTCGTCCTTGGATCCTGCTCTTCCGCGAACCGATCGTTCTTCTTACTTCGCTTTATATGGCTATCGTGTAGTATGTACCCCCTTTGAAATATTCCTGTCCAATGCATAATTACGAAATAATATAAGAGAATGCTAACTCCTGTTTTCAGCGGAACTCTATACATGATGTTCGCCGCCTTCCCAATCGTCTACCAGCAGAATCGTGGGTGGTCCGCAGGTGTCGGCGGGTTAGCTTTCCTGGGTATTGCCGTCGGTATGCTAGTCGCGGTCTCGTACAGCATCTGGGACAATACACGATACGCCAAGACTATGGCAGCTCATGGAGGGAACGCTCCGCCTGAAGCGAGGTTGCCGCCCGCTCTAGTTGGCTCCGTCCTATTACCCGTCGGGTTATTCTGGTTCGCGTGGACTTGCGGTCCCGACATTCACTGGATCGTATCCATCATCGCATCTGGTTTCTTTGCTACTGGGCTGGTCCTTGTCTTCCTCAGCCTGATGAACTATATGATTGACTCATGTAAGTCCTAAAACCCCTATTACAAAACAACAAGACGTATTTCAAGGATATATCTAACACAGAAGCAGATGTCATATACGCCGCCTCAGTCCTAGCCGCAAACTCCGTTCTCCGATCCATCTTCGGCGCCGCGTTCCCGCTATTCACGACAGCCATGTACAACAACCTCGGGATCCACTGGGCGAGCTGTATTCCCGCGTTCCTCGCCCTCGCGTGTCTACCCTTCCCGTTCCTCTTCTACAAGTTCGGTGGGCGTATCCGCATGAAGTGCAAGTTCGCCGCCGAGGCCGCCAAGGTCCTCGAGAAGATGCGCACGAGAAACGACCACGACGGTCCGCCAGGTCCGCCGGTGAAGCCCGAGAAGTTGGAGAAGACGGCTGAGGAGTCAAATTAAGTTAATGCATTCCGTATTCCATACCTACCTAAGTATTAATATCATGGGACAAACAAGGTGGATTCGGCTGCTAAGTACATAATACATGATTTTGGAAAAAAGTAGAGTCATTTTGGGCATGCTGTGCATAGCAGTAGTTTATCACTTATAACCACGCAGCATTTGGATAGAACAGGGCGTTACTGAGGAATAAGGATAAGTTTTTCTGTGCCACGATAGAATACGCATACCTATCGAATAGAGACCTGGTGGCTAAGAGATTTAGCCATATAGTTAATTACAAATATCTGCTTTGTCTAGTAGTATGAATCGATTCAGAGCTCATCGCGACCCGCCAACTTAATTTTGACACCTGGTATCTTCCTCATTGATACCTTTTGGGTAGCATCGATGCGGCCTCCCAGGTCATCGTATGTAGTTTTCACGCCGGGCGGTGTCCAGGGCCTGATCCGTCCTTGACAGACATCTAGACCCCAGCCTTGGACCTCACTCGAGGTCCACCCCTTGCCCTTGGGGTAAGGGTAGATCCTATCCTTCGAAAGCTGATGGACCGCACCGGCCGGGAGCACATCTGGATCAAGACCGAGCTTTGCGGGTAGATCGGGGAACTCGAGGGGATCGACGGTGACCATGGGAAGGCTCTTATAGTTACCGCGAGCTATCTTGTTTAAATCTTTTCGTATCCCAGCACGCTCTGCCTCCGTAGCAGCAAAGACGTAGACCATTGACCATCCACGCTACATCGTTTTTAGTAGGTTTTTACTATTTCGAGTTGAAGTATAGATATAATCATATCGTTGGCAGACACAGGAAGGAATGATTCTGAAATAAACTCGCGTCGAGGAACCGCTGGTGGTTATGTGGTAGAAGCTCTCCCATGACTGGTCGCGAGGCCTCCTTTACGAAAGTCTCGAGTGCGGCAGTATCTGTTTTCATTTGCTAAATAATTTCACAGTTGTAGATGAAGAGACTCCATGTGAAGCGCATATGGTGGCATTCGCCGTACAGTCGATACTAACAAATGACACTTTCGCCTCGGGAAGCGCTAGCGACCATTCCGTCTTCTTACTTTACTCATATTATATTAGCACTTGACGCAAACTAGAAGGATTGTGAGGGTACTAACTCCGAAGGCTTTATCATGGGTAAATGTCAGATTCCGCTCAACTCAGAACCCGTTTTCTCTAGTAGAAAGACTCACATTTATAACTACTTAAATGTTAGTCTTATACCGTAAGATAATCAAGCCAGGTCGAACTGTTCTTCACTTACAAGCGACTACAGCTGCTGCTTCGTTATTCTTGAGCATAGATTCAAGATCAGACTCTGAGAGATGTTCCCATGTATATGCGACGCTGAAGAATAGTGTATAAACACACAGCAGAAGTGTCGCGAGCTGCGACATGATTGCTAGTTGCTCGCCAGATTTGAAAGACCACTAGGCGACAATTTCGAATTCCAATAATCACATGCAAGAATCGTGAACACGGAGTGAAACAGGATCTATTATATTAGAGCTCTCCTGAAGTCATTAGCTACAGGTGCTGAGGTAGTAGTCTAGTTTCGACTAGTTAGTTCGTATGTAGTGTATGGAGTTATATTGGATAAGGGGCTCTTAGTTGATTCAGCTGACAGTCTAACACTGTTAAGTTGGCCATATCTTGGCGTAATATATATAATATCGGCTAATATCTTCAACTGTACTTTAAAGTGATAGGGTAAGGTCCTTGGGGACATTGTCGGCGGCGAATTGCCGCCATTGTTGTCGTATCCCAGTTCTAAAGGCGTCCAAAGCTGATAGGTGAGTTTCTGATGTTCCAGCCCACTGCAATTTTACTAAGATCAAGAATTATATTGAACAATATAAAAGGGAATAGTATGGAGATACCGGATGAAAATAAGGCATATCAAGATTTTGAAATAGCGCTGCAAGTAAATTATCAATATAGATAGACGACAACGTAATAAATTAAAGATAGTCGTGTGTAATACATAGTTAATACACATATGAGTGAAGTTTCATAATGGTATTCCATCAAAAGTAAGAAATGTTTCCCCTAAGCCGGCTACTCAAATCTGAATAGGTATGACCGAATACCGAATGCTACGATATTGAACTTACATTTGACCTGAGATATATTCATACGTAGCAGGATAATGTGGCGCGTAGACACGGCTAAACGACATAAACTGCTGAGAGCATGCATAACGCATTTCAGATTCAGGAGTGACATATCTAAACGCCCGAAGCAACTGAAATATGCCTGAACCGTGTGACGTTACTTACAAAAGCTATGGGAAACAGAACACAGCCGCGAATGTGTTACTTCAGCGCAAGGCGCAATAAATGCAAAAGTTGCCCTCGAATGAGAACAATAACTCTTCGCATAATTTCCCGACCGTTGGCAAAAATAACCGGTACCGAACCCCAATTGGACGACTCCCGACGATCTTCTAACAGGGATCGGAAATTACGCAGCGAAGGATCAGATGGAGATCAGCACCCACTTCACCAAATAGGAAACTATAACATTACCCTGTCAGGTACATCGTCACTAAAATTACAATTCTAAACGGCTACAATTCACAGCGAATTAAAAGCATTCATTGGGAAACAAACATCGAATGAAGTAATTTTCGTAGGCATTCGAGGCCTATTAACGCTATTAAGGATTAAGTACATATGCAACCGAACCGTTCTAGTTCGCGCCTCATATTGACATTGCCTTCACGGCTTTCGAATCATTAACAGAGAAAACCAAGATTGTTCGCTTAAGCGAAGAGAAGGGCGGCGACACCGGCAGCAGCGGCGAGGAGACCAGAGCCGGCCATGGTGGAGGCACCGGCAGTAGGGATGGGGCTGCCAGTGGGGTAAGAGCCAGTAGGAGGGTTGCTGATTTTAAATATTAGCTTTGATACTTAAGATATAGTTGTAGATTTATAGGATTACTCACGAAGCAGTGTACGAGCCAGTGGGGTAGTTGCCAGGGGCACCGGGAGCACCAGGAGCACCGGGGGCAGTGCCGACGGGAGCAGAGGGGCTGACGGTGATGGTGGAGTAGCTGACACTGGTGGTAGGGACACAGGTGGTGTAGGTGATGGGGATCACCGAGGTAGGGTAGGGAGCAGTCTCCGAAGGAGCGCCAGGGGCGGATCCAGAGGGAGAGCCAGCGGGGCTGCTGGCCGGGCCCGAGGGGACGCCGGGAGCGGACGAGGAAGGAGTAGCACTGGGGTAAGAGGGAATAGTGCCGTTGTTGAAGCTGGAGGTAGGGACAACGACGCTGGTGCTGCTCTCGACGGCGGCGACGCTGCTGCTGCTGAGAACAGGGCTGGAGGCAGGGCTGCCGGGCTGAGACTGGGAGGGAGTCTCAGCGGGGTAGCCGGGCTGGGACGCAGAAGGGACCTCAGCGGGCTGAGACTGAGAAGGAGTCTCGACGGGGTATCCAGGGACGGTCGCGGAGCTAGACACCGGGTAGACGGTGCTGCTGGTGACGGTAGACCGGGCCGGGCAGTTGGTGACGGTGGGACCGCAAGAGGTGATGGTGACATAGTCAGTCTCGTAGAGAGTGCTGCCGGCCATGGCGGCACCAGCGAAGAAAACGGCTCCGGCGAAACGCATTTTGAAGGTATTTGATATTGAACGTAAAACGAACAAGTAGTTTAAGTGGTTTTAAAAGGTGAAAAGAATGTAAAAGCTGAAAGCTTATAAGAGCGTTGTGAAAGAGTGGACGACCGAAGTCAAAGCTGAGTTAATTCACTAAAGTAGCGGTGATTGAGCTGAGGGAAAGAAGAAGGAAAGACGGTGTCGATGGAGGCGGTCGAGTATTAATAGCTTGAGCAGCACAAAGGATTCCGAATAGGGGACGATCCTCGCGGGTTGGGAAATTAAACTGGATAGACACCTCCATGGTCCTTTCAGCTAGCGTGTCCAGGGGTTTGTACAGAAGAGCACATCAGCAATGCATCGGCGGTGGAGGTTGTAGGCAAGGAACTGGCAAGGAAGCAAGTTACATAGACCAGCTGGGGTTATGTCGAAATGCCATGGGATTCGCTCCACTCGACTTTTACCAATTTGAATGACAAGGCGTGCTTTTTTCCTTGTTCACTTTGAAAGCTCCTAGTCTTTTGTGAACCTCTAGAAGAAGAAGAAAAGTTAATTATAGCAATATGTTTCAAAGGCTTCCTAGAACGCTTTGCCATTCTATCGACTTGTTTACTTTCGTCTACTTAGCTCATTGTTAACTAGGTCATATTGTCATATTCTATGTGGCGCAACGGCGTCGAACAGGTGCCATCGTTTCAAGCAAAAGGTGAAGGTGAGGGATAGATAGAGACGGTCGGTTGGTCTGTTAGGTGGCGGACGCTGACAGGGGGACTAACTCCGCAAAAAATGGCAAATCTTTACCACTTATAAAATCGACTAGGATCCAGGAACAACAGCGGAGCTGAGTACCACCGAGGAAGTATTTTAGAAGATCAGATTGGCCCTTCTAAGAGGCCACCGGCAAACAAGCATTGATTGTGTGAAACGACCTCCATATTTCGTAAAAGAGACCTAAGAGAGGCTAATGTTTAACTCACTTGGCGGTCTGGAGGGGGTAAATAGAATAGGGCTTAAAGCCTATGTATACGAGATATATCCGGGTATATCGCTGTTGGTTTTCTTAATACATACACTTACATACGCTAGGAGGCCCTTGAAGGCGTAGTGTATGTATCTACATAACATACAAACACTACATCTGTCACATGTCGATCTATGTATACGCGTATGTATTCCAACGGGAAGGTATTCCAACGGGAAGGCGAAGAGAATATCACATTAATCCGTACATACAAACGTAATTACAAAAGTATTCACTTTCCATCAAGAGGTGGGTTTCCCCGCGGCGCGTCGCTGACTTGCCGACTCGCTCGTTCGTCCAATGTTTGCTCTTTTGCTCTTCAGGGGTGTCTCCTTTTTAAGCTACCCAATTCCCACAGGAAACTGGTGGCAGCAAATCTGCGCCAATGAATCCCCCGGCGTTGCAAAAGAGCACGCTAATGCAGGAACACATGTTGGTTCTCCCTAGATGATTAGATCTACGGACCTAATATCCAAATTAAACGGGAGACCTGATTAGATCCCTTTGTCCCCTCCTCCAGTCTGTCTATGTAGTGTAATAGGATATCCGACATCGAAGAAGCAGGCGCTTGGTCCAGCTTAAACGCCCGTCTTGCTACCACCTGACATTTCGCCTAAGATGTTCTTAGTTCGCTAGGTTCTATCATTGGATATCGAGTCAAGGGTTTGCTATGCTACCTAAAATAAATAAGACCGAACAGCTCGATTAGGCAAGTAATGAGTATGTAGCACTACTAAAATGGCGCACGAAGAGCGGCTCCTCGACAATTTCTCCCTGACGATCCTGCCCATGTGGATGGATCGCTAGAGCTTAGAGGGTCTTACGTGTTATGGTTTTTACCTACCGAAAAAAAATCATCCGAAATAGAAAACGGGTCAAGTGTTATGCCAAGGCTGAACTACGAGGGATGCATAACCCATCAGTTTATTGGGTCTTGTTCCTCATTGCCACGTTTTGAAATGGTCGTTTACGGGTAGAAAGGCGAGTTAATTAAAGTACCGTATCCGATGTAGGATTATGATTGATAGTGACCAACAAAAAAAGAAATGTCGTTCAAGGATGCATAAGAACGTTGGAATACAACGTGTATTTTGGAAACACTCCGAAAACCCACCTACATATGAAGTTTCTATGTATATCCGACCGACGAGAGAGTCACTAGTAGACGTATTAAAAATGTCTTAAAACGCAAGTTACTGTACCGTGCATGTATGTAGGGTGTCGTCACGTTCCTTCATCTGAATCCATCATACATAATCCTACGGTTGGCTCCAACAAGCTTTTCGTCAGACGGCACATGTCTAATTTTAATTAGATCGTTCCGCGTATCTTGACATGTGCTTCACGAGCCCATGGGTGAACGTTACAATTATTTATTCCAAGGCGCTCGGACTACATAGATGGTAGATGGCCCCATCACCCCCGGTTTCTTGGAAGAGCTTACTTTTCTTAGGGCACGACTAAGAAAAAGGAGTATTGAATAAATTTGATTACATGATCTCGTTTCTATTCTGTTAGATATTACGAGGGGCATTGCCAATGTTCATCTTCTTCTCTCATTTATGCCATGTGATTCCCATCTCTTAACCTACGCCAACCCTCGTCTATAATGGCGACATGAGAGATCTCCTTTCCCGAACCGAGCTTTGGTCATTCTCAACTTGTTGGCCATAGTCGTGAGACCAACTGACGGCTACCTCGAAGATTTGTCTGAAGACATCGACGGCAAAGACCAACCCATTGTCAAGTTCACCGAATATTAGCTGAGCTTTCTATACTGCTGAGAGATCAACACTACAGAAAGACGAGCACTAAATGGGAGACACCGTCCTCGACTATTGATGATGCCTCAGTCATGGTCCCATGTGATAGTCGAGAAAACCTAGTTACCAATTGGTCGCCATCAGCTAACTTATAAGTCCGATGAATAGCGGTGGTCTCGGTGGCTAGGCTATCATTGTCAACCTACCAATCTTCGTTGATCGTGATAAAAGAGTATAATAGTTGACCGGCTTTACTATTGATGCTATATTTAGTTTCCGAGTCCGATTTCGAGCCGATCGATGCATATTTATTCATTCGAGCTTCAATATTCCGTATCAGTCGAGCTGTCGATGGTCTAGATCCAACGGGCTATACCGATGTGCACTTCCCTACTTAAGTGCTTACCTGATCTTACGAATAAGAGACGAATTTCAAGCTTTGAGACGCATTTTCACCTCTAGCTAGTATTGGATAATATCTTGACGTTAAAGATTCCAATATGAATGGCACAGCAGTTTGAATGCGATCCCTATTGATGAGGTTTCGAGTAGTGCTTGGAGAAATAGCCATGCTTCGTGAGTATAGCTAGGTATTCTCAGGGGAGCCTAAGTCTTGGATATGAAGAAGCCAAAGGGTGATATAGTCTGCGACTATAGCATGTGAGCAGACCTCATGGTGATGTGATTATACGTTGGGGATAAATCTCTTGGTCCGAGGACGATAACTCAAGCAGAAATCGCTACTCTTCACGTCTCGACTCTAGTAGGTTCTAGTCCTTTCATTAGACAGGTCTAAGGCGGGAGATATGATTTCATAAGGCTGAGGGGATAATGTGGCACTTTAGGGCAGCGCTAAAGATATCATGCCATATTTATCTGTTTATCTTATGTGTAAAAAGCCTCGTACGGTCTACTCCGTCGGTTTGGAAGATAGCCTGGGAGATACGACGTAGTGTTTCAACAGAAAGCAATAGTACGAAAAAAACACGATAATGATAGTTGCGGTAAATTAATTTAGAATCTTAATTATCAATTATTAATATTGCCGGGGTATTTTTTATACTTCTTTCATCTGTAGGCGCTTAATGTTATCTGTTATCCTTTAGTATAACTAAGGCATTCTTTAACATGTCCCTCCCGCTTATTGACTGATAATAATATGATAGTTGCATGTATGCATTTAAAGCATCTATAATTGAGGCCTAGGCCTGAGGTCCACTGCGGGGAGAAAGACCTAATCAGGCTCACCGCTTGCCCAATTACGCCTAAAGTTGACATGTAGAAAGAGATTTAACGCTAAATCGAGTAAGTGGGGGGAAAGAATGCCTCAAAGGAAGGCTCAGAGCGGGTTAAGAAACAGGTAAGGCAAGTGGGATGGCGGGCAGCCAAAAAAAAAAAAGACACAAGAATGTCATCGCTTTTTATGACTTGAATTGACATCTAACATAAAAATTAAAAAAAGAACGCCATCCATAATCTAATAACTATCAACCCTTGCGATTTCCCGCGACCGCTACTCCTCTTCTTGACTTCCTAACAAACAAAACTCCCTGGCATTGAACCCTATTAAATCCCAACTGTACTATTACTTGTTACCTACCTACTTGGTAAATACCATTGGAGCAACCACTTTTACCTAACAACGCTCTTTGTCTCTGGATCATGGTAAAGCAGCATGCTGCATGAATCTATCGTAATCGCCATAGCATCCTCAGATATTGTTGATACGTGATATAGCCTGGACATAGTTGAAGGGCTCGGGTCCGGCGTCTTAGCAAGATGGAATCTCAGGTAGATGATCTTTCATACCCATCGTCGTCGCAGAGCTTAGTTCATCGACTGACCTGACTTCTATACCATATAGATCGAGAATGCCATTGAGATCGCATGGAATCCTAACTCCGACCAAGCCCTGAAAACACAAGCTTTCGATTATCTACATCAACTACGTGCCGATCCTCATGCATGGCAAGTCTGTATCGGTCTGTTTGCTAGAACCCCGAGGTCCTCCGATGTCGTCCGACTCGTCAGCCTCGAGATAGTTAATAATGCTATACACGTGCAATCCCTCGACACCCAGGCCTTGCTCAGCCTTAGAGATGCTCTCCTGGCCTACGTGCAATCCACCTACGGCACCAACCAATCCCAGATAGATTCCCCTACCTTGCAGAACAAACTCACTCAAACCCTCACCTTACTTTTCGTCTCATTATACAAGCAAGGTTGGGAAAGCTTCCTCGACGATGTACTAGCTCTCACGATCCTACCTGGAAGCAACCAACGTGACAATGTCCCGGGTGTCATACTCTATCTACGCATTCTCAGCTCTATCCACGACGAGATTGCCGACGTCTTGCTTGTGCGTCAGGACGTCCAGGCCCGTAGCCATACCGAGCTCAAGGATCTAATGCGGGCGCGCGATGTTGGGAAGGTAGCCCAGTCTTGGCAGGATCTTCTTGCTCAGTATGGAAATCAGGATGATGCCATCATCGAGATGACTCTTAAAGTTATCGGCAAATGGGCTAGTTGGATTGACATATCTCTTATCATCAACGACGGCATGCTGAGCTTGATCCTTCCGTTGGTCGGTCGCTCCAACAACTCCGGCAGCGAGGACAAGGTCAGGGATGCTGCAGTCGAGGCATTCACTGAGATTGTAGGCAAGAAGATGCGTCCGGCTGACAAGGCCGAAATGATATCATTCCTCAATCTACGAGATATCATATCCCAGATCATAGCCAGCCCTCCGCTAAACGAATTTAAAGGCACTCCTAGATATGATACTGACCTGGGCGAAGCCGTCGCCAAATTAGTTAACACCGTCGTAGCCGACATCGTTAGAGTCCTAGAAGACCGATCTACTGATGATTCTACTAGAGCTAAATCTAACCAGCTCCTTCACGAATTCATCCCCTTCTTACTACGATTCTTCTCGGACGAATACGACGAGGTATGCTCTACCGTTATACCGTCGCTCACGGATGTCCTAGCCTATTTCCGCAAACTCTCCGAACTGCCCCCTTCCTTCTCTGAAACGCTGCCTCCGATCTTGAACGCCATCATCATGAAGATGCGGTACGACGAGACGTCGTCTTGGGGAAATGAAGATGAGCAAACAGACGAAGCAGAGTTCCTAGAGCTGCGGAAGAGACTTCAAGTACTGCAAAAAACAGTAGCAGCTGTTGACCAGAACCTTTATGTCGAGGTTCTATCTAATCTGGTCGCGAATACCTTCCAGACCCTAGATGAGCGAGGGTCACAAATGGACTGGAGAGATGTCGACTTGGCTCTTCACGAGATGTCTCTATTCGGCGAGCTTGCGATGCCTAATCAGGGACTAGGCCCCAAGAGCCAGCCCTCTCCAGTTGCATCGGAACGACTTATGGCAATGATGACCAAAATGGTACAATCTGGTATGTAAAATTCAGGATCTGGGCTGGTAGACGTGCTAACCGTTATCCAACCAGGAATCGCAAATTTCCCGCACCCAGCAATTCTTTTGAATTACATGGAAATATGTGTCCGCTACTGTGCATTTTTTGAGACTCAACCCGCACTAATCGGTCAGGTTCTCGAAAATTTCGTCCGCCTTGTGCATCAGGACCACGTTAGGATTCGTACACGCTCGTGGTATCTCTTCCATCGTTTCGTGAAGCACCTGAGAGCCCAAGTGGGGAATGTGGCCGAGACAGTCATCCAGTCTATCAGCGATCTTCTCCCTATCCAGGCTGAAGTACCAGGAGAGGATGCCGATGACGATATGTCCTCCGACCAAACCGATAACTCTGCGAGTGCCGTCTTTAACAGTCAGCTCTACTTGTTCGAGGCTATTGGGTGTATTTCGTCTACCAGTGCGACTCCGGTAGAAAAGCAAGCGCTTTACGCCCGCTCGGTCATGGATCCCTTATTTTCCGATATGGAGCAGCACCTCCCTAGAGCTAGGAACAGTGATGCTCAAGCCATACTTCAGATACACCATATCATCCTAGCTCTAGGTACACTGGCACATGGGTTTTCGGACTGGACGCCCGGGGCGAATTCTTCGAACCAACGGCCACCTCCGGCAAAAGCCCTATCCGACGAGTTCGCACGCGCCGCCGAGGGTATACTAATCGCGCTCAGCGAACTCAACACTTCTTCCGAAATCCGCACCGCTTGTAGGTCGGCATTTTCGCGCCTGCTTGGCGTGCTGGGGTCCGCTGTGCTTCCACAGCTTCCTCAATGGATCGACGGCCTCTTGTCTAGAAGCTCGTCGAAGGACGAGATGGCCATGTTCCTCCGCCTCTTGGACCAGGTCGTCTATGGCTTCAAGTCGGAAATCTATGAGGTACTCAACCAATTACTAACGCCCTTGCTACAAAGAGTCTTCGGCGGTCTATCAGAGCCAATTAACGGTACTGACGATGAGATCCAACTTGCCGAGCTCCGTCGCGAGTATCTAACATTTATTGGAGTTATCTTAAACAACGATCTCGCCGGGGTACTCGTGTCGGAGGCAAACCAAGGCTTTTTCGAATCACTAATCACCTCCATCCTAACCTTAGCTCGAGATATCGGCCCAGGCTCGGGAAGCCTCCCGGCGAGTCGGTTATCCCTCGGGTTACTCGCGAAGATGGCGGGTGCCTGGGGCGGACCGGATGTAGCAAACATCTCGGCAAATCCGTCAGCGCCCACCGGATCTCCATCACCTGCAATCCCCGGTTTCGATCAATTCCTCATTGATAGGTTTCATTCCGTATGTTGGGAAGTTCTTCGTGATCCACAGTTTAACCCGGCCGGGGATGCTCAGGCCAAGCTAGTCCTCCACGAGATCGCTGGGCTAGAGCAGGCCGTATACCTCAAGACGGGAGGGACATTTTTGGAACACCTGCAATCAACCCTTTTCCCCGGCCTCGGCATTGATGGGAATGATTTCCTGCGAGCCATGACTACGTCGACAGACAAGAAGGCTTTTTCAAAGTACCTACAGGGTCTAATGAAAGAGTCGAGGTGATCCAAGGGATGGGAGGTCATGGCTGGGAACAGAAGATATGGACAGAAATGATGTCCAATTGCATAAACAGGAGTTTGGCTCACTATACCAACCGCAATTTCGTTGACTATAGATGAACGTCGGAATTGAAGCTAGCTAGCAATGGCGAGATGTCGTTAGCAAGTAAATGAACAGAGAAATAAAGTCACAATATCACTCTCCTAGTAGCTTAAAATAACGTGCATTGAAGTAGAGAAACACTAGTGTTGACAACTAGCTTCCTATAAAAACTGCTTGGAATAAATGACTAACTATGCAAAATGACTACCTGGTGGGAGCAACGGTCATTGTGGTGACTGTGCTCCCTACCTACTGCTAGAAGAGGCTAGCTGGCCAGCAGTCATGGTCTCGCCAGGAAACCATATTATTATCAACGGATAATAAGTAGTAGAGTCCTGCTAAAAAACAAAAACCTTAGGGTAGGTAGTTTAGGGATCAGTTCACCTCGGGGCGAAACCAACTAGGCCAAGTTTTGCCTTTCACCACGAGCGACGTGGTAAGAAAGGGAAGAGTAAACTTTCCTAAATTGTCGACGTATCAGATGAGCCATAGGATGGGTTCATCTGAAGTCGAGGGTGAAAAACATGAGAAGAGATGATGATGTTGTATGAGTTAGGACGGTATGGTTTCCAACCGTGAGTAATCCGTTCGTTGGATTTTAGTCGAATCATCTATGACCGAGCTCGTTTGGGCTCGTCCCGATGCCATATAGTCCAGTGTTCTAGGTCTGTCATCCACTGAGGTTTTCAGAACCCTAGATATCCAACCTCCTCCCTCTCCCCTTTTTCGTTTTTTAGTACTTATTCCCCCTCTCCCCTTTCCAGTTTCCTGTCTCCTATCCCACCTCAACCACCCCAAATTCCAAAAGGGAAAGAAAAGCAAGTGAGCACTCCCGCAGCAATCTTAAAATAAGAAAGCATCATTACTTCAACCCCCAGAAATCAAAAACAACCCCCATCTCCATCTCCGTCTCTCACTCTTTGCTTAGCAGCATCGCAGTGCAGACAGACCCCCCTTCCCCCCCCAACCCCGACCTACTGCTCCGGGCGCATATCTCCTACCGCCCCGAAGTAGCCCTGACTAGCCCTGATCTGGTCCACCGTAAGCCCGTACTCAGGCACACTGCCAATAAGCAAGTTCCTGACTCTATTCAAAGTAGCGAGCAAATTTAACGGATCCGCCCGGCAGCGGATCCCGCCGTAAACCGGGTCGACGGTAGTCAGGCCGGTCAGGACCTCGAGGTCGGCGAACGTGTGCGCGCTGACTAGCAGGCAGAAGTGGAAGCCGCAGAGGAAAGTCGCGGTGCACATATCCTGCTGCATGCACACCGCGCAGTCCGCGTGGGCACGCTCGGGGAAGGGCAGCTCGGATAGCGGGAAGGAGCCTGACGTGTAGTCGTTGGTGAAGAGCCAGTAGGCTTCCCAGTAGGTTAGGCCTAGGCGCTGGAGGGTTGGCATGGAATGGGTGCGAATGCCAGGGGGAGGGGGTGTTGGGGAGCGGCAGAGAAGGGCGGTGTTGTTAGGGTAGATTCCTGATGGTACTGAGTGGAAGGCCCTGTATACGGGGTCGTTAGAGCTAGGTAGGTTGCGGGGCGTGGGTCGCCAGTCGAGGTGGACTGTGGCGTTGCTCGACGAGGAATTCATCGTTGCTGCTGTCGACGGTGACGTTTTGATCATGTGTCTATTCTCTCTCTCTCTCTCTCTGTCTATGTCGATTTGCTATCCAGCAGAAGACGTATCGTTACTTGACCTTCGGGGTAGATTGCTATTCAGCAGCTGGTCGACTGGGCTATTAGCGCCAGAAGACTTGTCGGCAGCGACGTTTGGCTAGAGCCGCGTCTCTTTGGTATGCGTTAGAAGTGTCGAGATAGGGGCGATGAGGTTGAGAATAGGAAAAGGAGGCGACGCTTACTTAATAATCAAGGCTTGCGTATGCTGCTTTGTATCGGTAATCAGATTTAAATGATTAATCTATAGGTTTAAAGCAGCTTTTGTGCTGATTTCGGTTGTATATCAATGGTTGTCAACATGCACAACCCTGAGATGTGTGCGCCTCTCGTTTGGGGATGACCCGAGTGAATGTAGGAGATGGGGGTTTGAATGACTGACGTCAAACGAGCAGACGAGCAGGCGTCAAAATTGAAAGTAACTATGATTGAATGCTACTGGCAATCGCACATAATAATACCGATTCACACTTGTGCTCTAGGGTTGATGGATAGAAGATGGCGACGATAATAGTATCGAAGACGATGAGTAGTTGATGGGAAACGACCTCTGCCAGAGAGAACTACTTCATAGAGAGAAGCGGAGGCGTGGAGAGAAGAGGAGGCGTGGATAGAAGAGGGAGAGTGGAGGAATATAAATATTGTTGGTTCGTTCAGAATAGCTTGGGAAAGACGGTAAGACTTCGACGCTCTCAAGCTTCTATGGGGAGTGATTAAGGTCGTGGCGCTTAGCTATCATACTATATTCACTTTCTGCTACTACATGGAAGTGAGGCTAAGCTGCCTACCCTGCTATCCCCTCTTTGAAACTACTAGAGACGGTAACTGAAGACCTCTATAGTGGTAGATTCTTAGTGGTATGGTATAGTGTATACCTGTATACCTGTATATTGTATATTGTATATTACAGTCTAACTACCCAACACACATTGCTCACGGTCTGCTTTGGTGGCACTAGTGCCGTTTTATAGTTCTTCATTGCCCGTGGTTGGATCAGTTTAGGTTTTTTTTTGTAGAAGTATAGACTCTATACTCTATGACTATGCCCTGCCACAACCCTATAGGGTATGTCGACCTAATCAACAAATATTTTAGCCTCGAGGTCCGAGTAATGTGACAGATACCCATCAAATAACTTGATGGCATGCTCAACATCATAAGTTCCTCCCGTCTCGCGGATGCTATGCATGCTTAACTGGGGATTACCCAAGTCCAAGGTGCGAACGCCAAGTTTAGCAGATAGCATAGGTCCGATAGTGCTGCCGCAAGACGAGTCATTCCTAACGACGAATAGCTGCAAGGGCACGCCCGCATGCTTTGCTGCCTCCTGCAATAAAACGATACCAGGAGAGTTCGTGGCGTAGCGTTGGTTTGCGTTGATCTTGATTACAACACCTTGAAGATTCCAAGTTAGGGCTAACACTTAGTTTTCCAAAGATTTAGGATCATACCTTTGTTTATTTCTGGCTGATGGTTTGACTCGTATTTACCAACATAGTTAGGGTGAACCGAGTGAGCCATATCGGCCGAGACTAGGAACGATGCCGCCATCGTCTGCTCAAAGGCAGTTGACAGGTCTATCTCAGGGTCCGAGCTAATGTGCTCCCAAGACTTGTCAGATGCCGAATCTCCATGCCCTTTACCAGCAAGAATAGACAGTCGGCGGACAACAGCGGGTAGTAAATCTGAGTTTGCGCCCTGGGCCGATGTCGAACCAATTTCTTCGTGGTCGAAGCAAGTGATTAAGCGAATACTGGTCTCATCATCCAGGGTTCGGGACGAGACCGAGTTTATCAACCCCATTACGCTGCAGTAGGTCATGTTTAGGTTATCTAGCCTGGCCGAATATATAAATTCCTCGTTCAACCCGCCAAGGCATGATTTTTGGACGTCGTAGAGGACCATTTCAAAATCGACTACATCAGTCACCTGCACTCCGGCGTGTTCAGCAATTAGCTCGATAATGTACGGGTGGTGGCGGTCGGTTATCTCCTTCAGTGGCTGGAATGTCTCTTCGGAATCCTCCTTCGAACCTGACGGCTTAGGGGCTTCACTTTGGCCGGTCCTATTCAGCTCGGCAGCCACCATGCCGGCGATGGGAAATAGTTCAGTCTCCTTGTTAGGATTGAACTCAGACGACCGATCAAGGTGAATAGCGAGGGTGGGAATGCGAATGATAGGACGGTCGACCTTGACGAGCTTCTGAATAAAGTTCCCCTTTCCATCCTTGACCAGGGTACGACCGGCAATGGACAGGTCTCTGTCGAACCAACTATGCCAGATGCCACCGCCGTAGGTCTCAACGCCAACCTGCAGAAATCCAACGCTACTCTTTTTACTGACGGGTTTTAGACGCAGACAGGGAGAGTCTGTGTGAGCACCGAGCATGGCAATAGGGTTTCCAGGCTTCCACTTGGCGCCTATAGCAAACGCTACGATAGTCGAGCCATTCCGGGTCATATAGTACTTTCCACCGGGTCGGAGGGTAGAAGACCAGTTATCACGTTCTCTTACAGGAGCGAAACCAGCTTTTGCTAGCCGCTCGATGGAGTTGTGAACGGCATGGTATGCTATAGAGGGGGGTTGTTAGCGATGAGGGACGGAGATGGGGACGCCGAGAACTGATGGGAGAGGTGGGATTATGAGAGCCATACGTGTTGGAGAGGCGTTGACGAAGTCTAGAAAGTCCAAAGCTGATCTAGGCGGCGCCATTCTGTAAGCCATGAAGATTGTGTATCAGGTAAGTGTATAGTATTGTGTATTTAAAGTATAATACCTAAAGTATGATAATATGTGGTGGTACTATGTATACCCGATAAAGATGGATAAAGATAAAGATAAAGATAAGTGACTAATCATCACGCTAGTCCAAGTTTGATGCTAATAGATATGCGATCGACCGGGGTTCTCTCTCCACAGCCCACCTACCGGTTTTAGCTTCCTGTTATCCGTCTGCCGTCGTGTTACCGGTGAATTCGATCAAGTCGGGTCGATCTTGAAAATCCCCTTGTAAAAAGTTTAAACTTGTCGATTACTCAACGTTCTTATTTGATCCAAAGCTTAACTCAATACTGGTACCTAATATGCTACATCCTAATATGCTACCTACCTACCTATACATGCTTAACTCCTACCACACATTTTATACTCGACGATAATGGCAGATACATATGTAATTGAGATCGTCTACCCCATCAACTAGACTTGCATCATTTACGTCTAAGCGCTCCTTTTGCTATCCCGGTGTCTGGCACTCAGTCTCGCGAGTAAGTGGTTGCTCATGTATGTAGTAACACTAATCGCTTGCAGGTCTATGTGTTGTGCCGCATACATTAGAGAAAGTGGCTTCTGGTGATTCTAGAAGGGGAAGACCGAAGGTAGTAAATCGAAGCCGCTCTTTTTTTTCCTTTCTCGGACGCCATGACCTTTTTTCTGATGCGTTTTGTGCTACACACAAGCAAATAAGATGGCCAACTTGGCCGGCAAACAGAATTGGACAGATGCAAACCGACACATTTGGAACATCAGGCGCTCCCTACGCCCACCGCCCGCATTCTGCGCATATTCTGCTACATATTCTGCAGAATGAAGTGGCGCTTGGATTGCTATTAAGCATGTCTGTTATTCTACGTCCCTTTCCTTTCTCTCTCTCGTATATTTGGACAGAGTGAGGCGAAGAGAATAAAAAAAAATAGAAGGAGTCCAACAAATTTACTAAGATACTTTTGCGCAACCCACAACGATGCTAGGCACCGGAGGAGCTAGACAGCTATAACAACTACCTAGACAAGGCCAAGCGGACAGGGCTCTTAGTTGTTGGCAACATTTCCATTGGACCCGGTAAGCGAACGCACCCTGTGGAGTAAGAATTCTAAAGACTAAAATAAGATGATCCGCTGTCAGGGCAAGGGATTCCCAGCTTCTACCACACTTAAACCTGGCTTAAACCTAGCTCTCATTTATTAAAGATGGAAGATCTCGAGGGCCCCAAAACTTCTGTCCACGTCTTCGGGAATCTCTCGAGTCCCCTAGTCTTAGGTACCCGTTCGAGTCCTCTCTTTTCTTTTTCTTCTTCTCGCATACGTTAAATTCACCGCCTTATTTTTCTTTGAAGCTTTCCGGCGGAGAGCCGGGTACAATGATGCCATTCAGGTGTAGATGTGTAGATAATACATACATATCTGTCACACGTACTGAGTGAGCCTGTTGGTCGCGGGGTTGTCGTCCGACCCCTTCTTTACGGCGGGATCCGGAAGATGTCTTCCCAGTTTTTGGTTCCTTTTCTGAGTTTTGACCAGGCGTCGATGCATCTTACTACTATGTACTATGTTATGGTACTCCGCCCACCCTTTTGAGATGCACGCATATAGCGGGCTAGTAGTCGTGGTACAATTGCCGACTAATGTATGCTCATATTGCAAGCACTCCCTTCCTTTTATTAGTGACATGTATATATGTATATATATGGGGTATAATACAAATTGCCATGATGCTTCATATTAGGTTCTCTTTGGAGAGATTTTCTGGTTTGTATAGGATACGTATGCTCTGAGATGGACGTGGTCTTGATTCGTACGTAGGTAGGCTTGGTTAGGTAAAGACGCATACAGTATGAATTATAACCAAATTTTCGGTCATGTATCGTACGCAGTTTGGTACTTCATATTGAATTTCGGTACTTGTCGATATGCCCCATTCGATTCTTCCGAAAGGCAGCCAATCAAAGTATCTAACCAGACTATCTAGCCCACTCTGGAA